TTTCTTTTTTCATTTTCCAACAATGCATCGTCAACTGTGAGATTTTTTTTTGTTGCTATAATTTTAGCAATATAATATTTTTAAAATGTGATTTTAGCATTAAATCAGTTTCATTTACTTATTAATTTATATTTGATTTACTTCAATTCATCTATTAGTTTATTAAATTGAAAGTTTTATTACAATTTATAATAATAGCTATTAATCAAAAAAATTTTTGTCAAATGATTTAAGTTTTTTTAATGCATTTTTTATAATTTATTTGGCAAATTTTGAAGTGCAAAAAAAGCAAACAAACAAAAAAACAAAAAATTGGCACATTAAAAGGACAAAAAAAAAAGTGAAAGAAAAAAAATACATTAAAAAAATAATAAATAATATATATATATAATATAAAATAATAAATATACATATAAAATATAAAATATACTTAAGAACTTTTTCTTAAATTTTATCTTATAAATATTGAAATTTTTTTTTTTCTTTTCCAAACTAAACAATTATATATAAAATATGCAAAATAATTGTGGGAAAAAAACAAACGGAAAAGGAAAGAATGAAATTTAGAAGTGTTAAACCTTTTAGCTGTTGTTTATTTAAAAATTCTTTTGCTGTTGTTGTGATTGCTGCTGAAAGTCGATCCCAGTAGCTATGCGGAATGGATGCATTAAAGTAACTATACGTAATATCTTCGTGATTTACGTACGCTGCGCCAAATTCTTGCAATCGATCAGCAGCTACAATTGGCTCTGCTAAATTACGCATTGATTGTGACAATGCATGTGTGAAACGCTGAAATAAAATTATTTTGAAGCAAAAAATTTTTATAAATTTGATAAATTAAAATATTTTAAATTTACAAATTAACATGAAAATAAAATTTTATTTAGAATAAATTATGTTTTTTTATCCATTAATTATGTAATTTATGAAAATTTCATATCGCTTAGAAAATTTTTTTTTTTTTTAGAAAACTAAATAAATCTATGAGAAATTTGACTTTTCTTTTCTTTTTTGTTATTAAAATTAAAAGTCAAAATGAATGTGAGAAATAAATGAAAAATATGAGAGAAAAAAAAAAAACAATTTCGGTTTTTGTTTCTTTTTTGTTAAGTGAAAATAAATATTTAATGGAATAAAAGAATGTATTAGTAATTTAATATTTTGCTTTTTTTTTTTTCACTCCTAAAAAATAAATTCTTTTTATTTACTTTAAATAAAGAAGGAAATTTAATAGTTCTACTTTTGTTGCTATTTCAGGAACTTTTTTTTTAATTAATAATAAAAACTGTTGTTAAAATTTTGATATTTTAAAAAATTAATTTCAAGAAAAAATACATATTTTTCAATTGATATTTAGAAAGATGAAATTATCAATTGTCAAATATATTAAATATCGAATAAAGTAATATAGTATATATGTATATCAATATAGAATTTAGATTTAAATCATAATTTTTAATAGGATTCTAATTTTTTTTCTAATTGTTTAAATTTGATATTTTTTCATAAAAATTTAGAAAATCACAAAAAAAAATTTTTTTGTTACAAAAAAGTAATTGTTAAAATGCTTTTGAAAGTTAACATAAGTTAAAAAGAAATAATAATAAATAAATTTTGAAATGCCTTAAAATCATTTTTTTTTTTTCATTTAATAATTAAAAAAGAGAAATGAAAAAGACAAATTAACATTTGATAATAATTGTAATCAAATAATCACAATAACATATTTTATTCATTCTTTATTGTTAATAATGATATATTAATTCAATTATTAATTAATTCGATTAATTGATTATCGATTTCAGTCATTGCATATTTAAATTTCGTTATAGTTAAAAAAATATGTAATTTAATTAATAAGGTTTTAAAGTATTAAAAAAGTTTACTTTTTACATCAATTAAAATGCTTATTTTTCGCATGTCTTTATTTATTTATTTAATAAAATATAAAATAATTACTGAATTTAAAATTTTATTATAAAATTGCTGAATTTGAAAAAAAAAATTAGATAAAATTTATAAAAGAATTACTGAATTTCAAATTTTACTTTATGATATTTTTATTTCTTCTATTATTTTTAGCTCATTTCGCTTACTAACATTTTGATTTTTTCTTTTACAATTATTTCTAATGCATTTTTCATTAATTTTTGCCCTCCTTTTTTTTTCCTTCTTTAATAAAATTTTATTTTTAAAATTCTCATTTAAATAATGAAAAAAAGCGAATATTTAAATTTCACCTGTGCATGTGTTCGAAAATTTACATGTTCTTGCCATTGATTAGTGCATTGAAGATGTTCCAAATTAATTACCACCAATAAATTTGGGTCACGTTCAAAGACTACCTCAAAGACACGTTTTCCGAGATCAAACACTAACGCACGTGGTAATTGACGCCACATTGTTGTTAAGATTGCTTTTTGATGTGCGCTTAAACCCGTAATTTCACAAATATTTGACCGCCGTCTGCTACCATCCATATATCTATAAAAGAGTTATTTCATTTTTTTTTTTTTTTTTTGTAATTTTAATTTAAAAAAAAAAATGAAAAAGAAAACGAAAAACAGAAATGAAGAAAAAAGGACAAAAAAGTTAATTACTTTTTTAAATTTATGATTTAACATAAATTATTTCACTTTTCTTTCTTTTTTGCAATTTTAATTTAGAAGACATTTAAATATAAATTTAAACATTAAATATCAAATTCTTAATTTAAACTTTAAACATTCAAAAGGTTTTTTTTTTGTGACAGCTGAAACATTTGAAATGATAAAATTTATATATATATATAATAATATATTTAGTTTCTAAAATAATTATAAAATTTTGAATTGTAAAAAAATTTTTTTTCTTTTGTGCAAAAAAATGAATAAAAAATTACATGAAAAACTTGGTATAAATTTAATTTTTTTTTTAATTTTTACAGTATTAATAAAATTTTCTTAAAAATTTAAAAAAAAAAGGAAATGAGAAAAAAAGTGGTAAAAGTAATATTTTTTAAAGATTAAAATAAACCAAGTCTATTAATTTAGTAGCATTAATTGATGCTATTAGTTAAATACATTTATTTTTTAAAATTAGGTTAGACATAAATTAATATAAAAAAATTAAAATTAGGTTAGACATAAATTAATATAAAAAAATTAAAATTAGGTTAGACATAAATTAATGCAAAAAAATTAGAATTAAGTTAGACAATAAATTAGCATAAAATAATTGTTTAAGATATTTGTTAAAATACAATTTATAACTAATCACAATATAAATAATACTTGAAATTAGATAAAACCTATATTTATTTATACTTTGAGTTTTTATTTACTTAAAATTAATTTCATTTATTAAAGTATTTCTTTGTTTGTTTATTTTTTTGAAATATAGTCGAAAAGAAAAAAGAAATTTTTTTTTCAAATACCTTGGTTGTCCAGAAGATGCACGAAATGATTTGCTACGATTTTTTTCAAATGAAACAATTGGTGATTCCAATTCTTCCTCTTTTCGAAAACTTGACAATTTGCGTGAGCTAAAATTTATTTTAAATTTAAAAGTTTATTCAACTTTTTTTGACATCATTAAAAATTTTGGATTAATATTTTTTTTATAAAATTAAAATTAAATTGTACAATTGCAGAAAAATAAGTATGAAATTGTCTTAATTCTGTCATCGTTTTTTCTTTTTTTATTTTTTCATTAGCTAACAAAATCAATTAACAAAAAAAAAAGAAAAGACGAAAAAAGCAATGAAAAGAATTTAAACTTTTGCATTAAATTAGATTATCTTTAAAAATTTACTTAATTAACTAAAAAAAATAAAAACTTTTACCCTACCTTACCTTACCTTACCTTAATTAAATATATGTAATTAAATTTCTCGTCTAACTTCCTTCTCTTTCTTATTTTGCTCTTCTCTACATTTTTCTTTTTAGCGAAGTAAGGAATGAGAAAATTTAATTTAATTAAAGCAAAAGTTAAAACTAAAAAATTAAAATATTGCAATGCAAAAAATATAAAACATTTAATCAAATTTAATTGGAATAAAAAATGAAGCATCAAAAAAATTATAAATTCTATTAAAAAAAAATTTTTTTTATATTATTGCAAAAAAAAAAAAACACAGAAATGAGTGATAATAATACTTCGTTCTTTTTTTTTTAGTCCTAAAATAATTGATTAAATTTCATAAAATTAAACAAAATTTTTTTTTTTGCCATTTTAGGAATCATTTAAAGAATGTAATGAAAAAAATAAAAAAATAATGATAATATGATGACATTTAGCTATTAAATGATACTGTAATTAACTTTTTCTTCTTCACTCATTTCCTCTTTCTTTCTTTCTCTCTCCCTCCCTCTCTCTCTCTCTCTCTCTCATTTTCTATTTTATTATTTTTATTGAATTTGAAACAAAACAAAAAAGCTTAACAAAATATTTTACCCTTTTTTAACTTTTTTTTTTTTTTGCATATAATTTCAAAAAATACTAATTGAAAGAAAAAATATTTGTGTAACAAATTTTCAACAAAACATTCACCAATTTTCTTTTCCTTTTTCTTTTTTTTTTTAAATATTAAATATTAAATGTTAGTATAAATTTTATTTTTTGTTAGAACAAATTTATTAATAAGATGAAATTTTTTGAAATTTTTAATATTTTTATCTAACAAATTTAAAATTAAAATTTTAAACAAATTTTTTTTCTTTTTAAAAAAAATTAAATACCAAAAAAAAAAAAAAAAAATTGAATGAATAAGTGAGAAAATTAAAATAAAATGAGGAAAAAGGATCAATTGTAAAAAATTATAATTGATAAAAAAAAATTTTTAAAAAAAGATGAAATAATTAAAATGAATTAATTTAATTTAGCAAATACCTTTGTGGATGTGGAATTGATTCACTTCGTGTTCGTGACGGTGACATCGTATGTGAATGTCGTTTATGTGACATTTGACGAGATATTTTAGCTCCATCATGTTGATTTGTTGATTCTTTATTGCCCATTTTTTTTTTTTTATCTTTTAATCAAAAAATGTTTAAAAACAAAAAAATGAAATAAAAAAAAAATAAAAGACGAAAAAATAAAATTAATTAAAAATAACTTATTTAAATGTAAATCGTTTTCTTTGTTTTTTTAGGTGTGAAATTTAGTTTTTTAATTATATGAGTGAAATGTTTTCCTTTTTTATTTTTTGATTTTTTATTTGATTAATGATTTAAATGATTAATGTAAAAATTAATATTTTTAATTTAAACAACAAAATAAAATATAAAATAAAACGATAACCCTTATTTATTTATTCACTTTTTTTTTTTGTTCAAATTATTTCTGCAATTGATGTGTAACAAAAAAAAAAAGAAAAAGAAAATTGAATAAATTTTTGTATATGTATATATTAAATTGAATTTTAAAATTCCCTACTAAATTAAATTTAATAGCAATTTTTTTTTCATCAATAAATATTCATTATTTAAAAATGATTTTACAAGACGAACGTTTATGATAAAAAAGAAAACATTAACATTTATATGTTCACAGAAAAAAAAAATTCATTATTAGTAAAAATAAATTGTGAATTTCATTTAAATTAAATTTTAAAATAAATTTATCCTATTTTAGTTATAAATTTCTTCTGATTTTAAAACATCAAATCTTGAGTTTCATTATTTTTTAAATAAATTAAACCTTAAAATGTATTATTTATATTAATTTAGATAGTCTTTATGAAAAATTTTCTGGTTGAAATTTTTAATTAATTAGTTAATAACATTAAATCAATAGTAATAATAAAACTGATAATAGTGCTAATAATAATAATAATAAAATAATGATAATTTAATTTTTAATTAATTAGTTAATAACGTCAATGGTTAATAACTTAATTTTTTTGTGATAAAGTGATAATAATAGTAATAATAACGATAACAATGATACTATTAAAATTAATAATAATAATAGTAATAATGATAATAATAATAAAAATATTAATGACAGTAGTTTGCAGTAGTAATTAAAACAACAATGCTTATTGTATAAAAAAAAAAAAATCAAAAATGCTAAATAAAACCAAAAAAATTTGACTTACTACTTTTATTCATTATATTAATCATTTTTTAACTTCAAAAATTAAAATCTAAATTTAAGCTAAAGCAAAAAAAAAGGGTAAAAGGGAAAGAAAAGAGAAAAAGAAGAAGTAAGAATGAAGAAAAAGATATTTAGAAATGGACTAAAAGAGCAAAAACAATTCTCAAAATATCTGAGAATGACTTTCTCTTTTTTTATTTTTTTCAAAATAAAAAAAAAAGGAAAAAAGGGAAACATTTTGTCAATAGTTACAGAAGTTGTCATTCTCGAGAAAAAAAAAAAACATAAATTTGCTGTGATGCATTTTATCTTCAAATGAAATTGGTTTTTTTTTTTGTTTGTTTGTTTTTGAATAGACGAAAATAAAAAAAAAAATCCTAAATGAATGAGTGCAAAATTAGACGAACAATTTTCGAATATTAAATGTTTTTTTTTTTTTTTTTTTTGAAAAAAAAAAAGAAAAAAAATTCAAATTAAAATTAGCAATTCAATGATGAAATTAAAATTTTTATTTGCAGTTATTAAAAAGAGATTAGATAATTTGAATTTCAGAGCAAAATTTAGTGATTAAACTAATAACTTAAAAGATGTGAAATGATAGATAGGCAAAATTACAAATAACATCATTTCATCAATTTCAAAAATTTGAAATTATTTTTTTCGAGTTTAAATTTTGATGCCATGTTAACGTCACTAAAATAAACAAAATTCTATAGTTATTAAGACAATGTGTATTAAAATTAAATTAATTTAGTGTGAATATTTTAATTTTGAAATTATTAATATTTAAGTGAAACAATGCTAAGCTATAATAACATTATTAAAAAATGAAATGACTGAAGTGACATTAAAAAAGAGAAAAAAAATTACAAAGTTTATATTTCACCAATAATTTTTTTTTTTCAAATCTTTTTAGGCTTTTAAAATTCTTAATTAATATTTACGTCATAGTTTTAAAAAAAAAAATTCTAACATTTTTCCAGTCCGAAATCATTTTATCAATGCCATAAATTACAACAATTATGATTTTTTCAAAAACAAAACAGAAAAGATTTCGAATTTATTTATTTTCAAATTTAGTTTTTACCAAATATTCATTTTCAAAAAAATTTATTTTCTTAATAAACAATTGTTTTGTGGTTGTTTACTTTTTTCTTTGCTTTTAAAATTCCATATTACAATAATATAATTCCAAAAAAGAGTTCAAAAAAAAAATCAAAAAAGTAAACAAATTACACAATTAAAGTAAAAAAAAAATTATAAAAATTAAATAAATTATTGTTATATTAAAATTAATTATATATGTAATATCACATCGCTATTTCTTTCCTAAATGTGTTTAAAAAAAAAACTTATATAACCAAAGAACAAAGCAAACAAAAACGAAAACAAAAAAAAAAGAGAAAAAGAGTAAACAAGTAAACAAATTCATTGAAAAAGGAAAAAAAATAAAATTATTACATATTTGTATTATCATTAATTCTTTCCTAAATATGTTAAAATTAAAACTTATAAAAAACAACAAACAAAAACAAAAACAACAAAAAAAGAGAAAGAGAAATAAACAAATTCACTGAAAGAGGAAAAAGAAAAAAATTAAAAATGAACGAAAAACAAAAGTCTCATGAGATTATCATTTCATCCTTTAATCTGTCTAATTTCTTTTTATTTTCTTGTCAAATTTAATTTGCATATAATCCATCCTTTTGTCAAATTAATTATTGCATATATTAGCGAACCAAAAAAATGAAATGGCTTTAATTTATAAACAACAAACCATCGTCCTTTTTGTTTTTTGCTTTTTTTTTGAAACAAAGTAAACAAACAAACAAATAAAAACGAAAAACCAAAAATTTAAAAATTAATATTAAATTGAAAATTGAATGATAAATTTATTCTTTGTTCACTTTTTCTTCATTCTTTTAAAATTGTTCATTTAATAAAGCGAATAATTGTTAAACATTTCATTCAAAATAAAAATACAATTTGCATTATTTGAAATATTTCATTTTATTAAAACGAAAAAAAAAATGAACAGCAAGTTACACTTAAATTTTTAATATTAATTCAAGAATATTTTATAGAATTATTTCTTGCATAAAATATTTTATTTAAATGATGCTAAAATTGATTTTCACTTAATATTAATTTTAATTTTTTTTGTTTTTAATGATGTGCAAAAGAAGAGAAAAAAAAATTAAGAATGCATTATGTGAAAAATATTATTTTTGCTTCTTTTCCTTTTTTTCAAAAATAAAAAAAAATTTTGCACCTGTAGTTAATATTTTTTTTTTGCCTTTTTCATTTATTTTTCACTTTTGAATTTTTAATTTTAAATAAAATTTTTTGAAATTTAATTAAAAGAATTTTTTTTCTTTCTTTCTCAAAAAAAAAAAATCAAAAAATTTATTATTTTTAATTTATTACATTCATTAAATGAAATCAATTTGATTTCGTTTAAATTTAAATATTATTTAAATTAATAAAATTGAAATATTGGAAAGATAAAAGACAAAAATAGGATTGAAAGTTTTGCCGGAAAAAAGGAACAAAGGAAAAATTTCCGGAAAAGATAGGAAAAGAAAGAGTATTTCGAGAATGAGAAAGTCTATTTCAACGATGCTAATTTTATTTAACATTTTTTTGTCATCAATTCTTCATCTAAATTTTCTGATGCATGCGTTCATGCATATGATAAAGAGAATTATATTATGTAATAAGAAAAAAAATTGAAATGAAGAGAAGAGAGAGAGAGAGAGAGAGAGAAAGGTAAAACAAATTTATGAAAAAGAAAGAAAAAACCGGAAAAAGATGAAACGATAATTTTTATTTCCGAATATTATAATTTCCAATTGATTATTACGCCTAATAATCAACATGAATAATAATTAGTAACTGAATAATTAATTAATTAACAAAAATAATTGTAATAATATTAACAATATGACAAGATAACAGGAATAATAGTAATAGTAATAGTAATAATAATAATAATAATAATAATAATAGTAATAATAATAATGGTAATAGTAAGTAATAGTAACAACAGTGATAATAATACTAGTGTTGATGGTAATGACATTCAATAATAATGACAATAATAGAAAAATGATAATGATAGTAACAATACTAATAATATTAATAATGATGATAATAATAACAATAATAGTAGTATTGATAATGATAGTTATAATACTAATAATATTAATAATGATAATAATAATACTAATAATAACAACAATAATGTCCATAATAGTAATAATAATGATGATGGTAATAATAATATTAATGGCAACAATAATGACAGTGACAATAATAATAATTAATATTTGAATGACATATAGAATTTTAAATCTTAAAACATTTTTGAGGAAGGAAAATTTGTGAAAATTTGGAAATGAAAAATTGCTTAATTTACATATTTGTTCAGTGAATATTTGCACACAGTAATAAATTATGAATTCCACTTTTATTTTTCTATTTCTTATTTTCATTCTTAAAATACAATGCATCTGTCTTGAATGCTTCTATTAGTGATAAACAAATATCGAAAAATTTATCATTTAAAACTTTTCGAGGAACTCAGAAAATCGTTTAATTTTAAAATTTTAAATTATATCAGAATATTAGCTAGGCAAATTAATTGATAATAAATTTAAAATGATTTCATTTTCACCGAAATAAACTTAAGCTTTGCAAATATCGATTAAAAAAAGAAACTTTAAATTAAAATTTATTTTTCCTCTTTAATTTAATGTAATAATTTAGCTAACATGAAAATATAACAAAATTTAGAAATATTGAAATTATTTAAATTTCCATTAAATTACATAAATTCTTTATACAATAAAAAGAAGAAAATTTTCGGGCAAATAATTTGCTTATAAAATTAATTTGGGCAATATTAAATTTTTGATTT